ATCAAACTTTTCTTGTTACGATAATAACATTCTGTAACGACATTTCAAAATGCGCCGAGCAATTAAAAAGCCAATTAAAACCACAAAGACTGATGCTACACCTATTATTGAGACGAAGTAAGTAATACGAATCAAATCTTATTGTTATTAAACACAGAACATTGTGAAAGAAGAAATTTTATTGTGTATTATCTTTATTATGAACAATAAAAAAAAGATTTGAAAAATTTATATACCAAAAAAAAAAACACGAAATTATTTGGATAAATAATTTGTTTAAATACCTTTAAATTTTACACAATTATTGTGTTTTACTACAAATAAGATATTAAAATTTTGAAATAAGCTTCTTTTCTTCCTCTCTCCACTCATCCTGCAACGATTCCACTTGATTATTTAAAGATCTCATGATTCATACTTATTATTTTCTTGCCTTTCCTTCGTTATTTTACTGTCTTTCACCATACAGTGTTGAACTACAACAAAATCAGCAAAATGATTGGTTTTCTAAGAGTATGGCTCGCAAACATCTCAAATATTGTACTGCTGCTCTCAAGGAACTGAAAAAGCATCCTTCAGCTGGACTTTTCCTTGAACCTGTTGACGCAATCAAATATGGCATACCTGATTATTTCGACATTATTAAACAACCAATGGACCTTGGAACTGTAGAAGCCAAACTTAATGCGCTTCAATATACTACCGTAACAGATTTTGAGTCAGATGTACGACTCATATTTTCAAACTGTATTCTCTATAATGGTGTAGATCATCCCGTCTCTCAACAAGCTAAAGAATTAGAAAGTTTATTCAACGTACAACTTAGTAGCTTTCCTGGAGGTAAAAAGGAGGTAAATATCTTTTTTCTTTATCGTGTCCTTTACAGTAAAATAAATAAATATTTATATTTATTCGATTCTACTTTTAGGTCAAACCTCCTGTGACAGAACCTTCTACTAAAGCGACAAAGTCTGTAAAATCTACTGCAACTGCTGCGGCTGCGGCGGCGACAGTAACATCATCGCCATCATCGACTGTAAACCTGACTATTGATGAATCTCGTCCGAAAAGAATAATAAAAGCTCCTGCA